GCTGGAACCGAAGCAGTCGGAGCCGGGGCTGAAAGGGGGGCAGGAAAGGCAAGAGGACCAGTGTCGTCTCTGCCGTCCTTGTCCTCGTCCTGGTATTGCTCGCCAACAGCAACGACGGACGAAGCGGGCACCGGAGCAGTCTGAGAAGGAGTCGGGGTCGGAGCCAAGGCTCGGGCTGTGCCAGGGGCAGGAGCGAGAGACTCGCTGGCGAAGAGGTGCGACCTAAACAAGTGTTAGCACATTTCAAGGCACCAATGACGGGTGTGTGTACATGTCGCTCTCATACTCTCCCTCTGCATCATCGTCCTCGGCCTGGTATTCTCCGAAACCGGGGATGACGGACGAATCCGCAAAGGTCGCGGACGGAGCGGGCGTCGGGGTGGGGGTAGGTGGGATGACGGAGAGGCTCGACCTAAACGAGTGTTAGATCAGCTTTCCGTCGACGTCTGGGGTATCGTGCTTACCAGCCATGCTCATTATCGTCTCTTCCCTCACCGTCGCCGTCGTCACAGTATTCCCCAGTAGCGTTGACGGACGACGCATGTGTGGGCGTGAGCGCAAGCGCAGGCGTGAGCGAGTAAACAGCGACGGGGTTGACGGCGATGGGGTTAGCGGCGAGAGAGCGAAAAAGGTCATCGACGCGTTCGGCCTCGAGACGCATCGCATACTTCTTCGCCTCCTTCGCCTCGGCCTCCTCGCGGCTGACTCGTGGTGGGCAGTCAACATAGAGCTCCGGTGCCTTTCTGCGCCAAACATCATCCACATCCTCGAGCTTCTCGGGGCCGTCACACTTGAATCGCTCGTCTCTGCCCAACTCGTCTACCTGTGTTCTGTCAGCTAAGGTCCGCAATGGGCAGAAGGTCAAAACAAGTACCGCGACGTCGGGCAAGCGTCGGAAGCTCTCGTAGTTGCTACGGTCGACCTTCTCTTCCTCCATGCTGGCCGTTGTCTCGTGGGATGGATATGGTGTGAACACACAAGGGGCTTCCAGAATATCCAGCTTGCAGAGATTTTCTTTGGGAGACCGGACTCGAGGGGGCAGCTGAAGGGCAGCTTCACCCTCTGCTTAGTCGTCGATGTCCAGTGCTGGTGCATGGTCGGCGCGTGGTCGAGAAGTGGCCATCATGGAGAGGTCATCCTGAGGCCACTGGTATCATGTAGCTGCCCCGAGTCTACCTACACTCCCCACCCATCACTAGTCACAGCTCAAGCAAAAGGTGCATGATCTCCCATGACTTGGCTAACTTGTTGCTGAAAGACTGAAAGGGATTGTTGGGTAAGTCGAAGAAAGCAGAGCTAGTGTTTGGTGGGAATACTTCTCAGTTGAGACTTAGCAGACTTGTCGAGAAACTGGTAGAAGGAGAAGACTACCTCGGAGGGACAATGGCACATCATTTATGGTTCCTAGATGGGTCCCTTCACAATACTTGGAGTGAGACACAAGCTAACAATGGACTTGATGAAGGTAGAAATGTTTGGACGGTTTCTGAACGAAGCACAGAGAAGATTGAATCCCTTCAGTCAAAGAATCCTTGATGAGTTCGGCTTCACAGACGAGCTAAGGTACTTTCTCGAAGAGCCCGGACATCGTGATAATCAAGAAAACGAGACAGCCGAACCACATACCATACGTCGAGGCAATCGAGATCAAAGTCTCATCAGCGACAGCCAAGAATATTTGACATTCGCTTTTGAATTCTCAAAGTTTGCTTTGAATTCTTCCGACGGCCCTGAGAAATACTCTTCTCCCAGAACATCATCGGCATTGAGATCTGCCGCGACTTGCCCATTCGTTGCTCGTGCCCTCGATGCAGGCGCTTAGGCGACATCCAAAGCCTCGACACCGAGAACATCATCCTACGCATCTTCACAGCAGAGGTATTCGGAATCCAAAATGTCGTCCTGACATCTCTTTTGTTTCAACGCTTCATACTGAGTTCTAACGTCCGCCAACAGACTCGCTCGTACAACATCAAATACGCCCACTCGACCGCCCCCATCTCGGACCTCGAAGCGAAAAATCCGCTGACAGATGGCTGACGACAACGGCTCACGGCGAAAGTGGATTCAATAACCCCTCCAGCCATGCTCTTGTCCGAAGTGAGGCCTTTGGATGACATCCGATTGCTGATCGCCAGGTCCCCTCGGTGGATGCCCGCGGCCAGGGGGTTGACTCGTCCGAACCCATAAAAGGAGCAAACATCGCCGCAACCGCCCAATGAGGCCCGTCCAACACGCGGAGAAGTGCCGGTGTCAGCGATGAAGATTGTGGGGTTCTGCCCAGCAATTTCCGACGATGCGATCCGTGCAACATCCAGATTTCCCGAATAGGCACCGCAGAGTCGCGGTGATGGTGGAGCATCGGTCCATTCGATGGACCTCTGCTCAGGGGGGATGCCCGTGTCGATAATCACGAAAGCTGGTTTCCCCCCGACATCCGGCGAATCCCTTGATGAATGACGGCAAAAGTGAGTAGTGAGAGAAAAAAAGAGCATGAGAGATATATATCGTTGATGTCTGCAGCCAAGACCCGGGGAGAGAGAGCCTCTTGTGTCTTCAACTCCAGCGGTTCGGTTCGGCTTCCCCTCCATCGATCGCCAAAAGAGTGCAACCGCCACCCGGCATCATCAACCCCCCATGATGTGCAACGCAAAGTTCGTGGCGACCTTCGCCGGCCTCCTCGCCTCTGCGAGCGCAGGCCCCAGCGTCCGCCTCGACAACGGCCTCACGGTCCAGGGCCGCTTCGCCCCGGACGCGTCCAACGTCGCCGAGTTCCTGGGCATCCCGTACGCCGCGCCGCCCCTCGACGACCTCCGCTGGGAGCCGCCCCAGCCGTACGTCGTCCCGCAGTCGAGCAACGCCTTCGCCAACGCCACCGTCCTCAACGCCACCGCCTTGCCCCCCTCCTGCTGGCAGTACATCTCCATCCACCCGGCCATCCAGCGCGTCGACGTCCCCGAGTTCATGATCGGCGCCGCCGGCATGGACGAGGATTGCCTCACCGCGAGCGTCTGGGCCCCCGCCGGCGCCGTCCCCGCCGTCTCCGGCAGCGAGACGGCCGCGAACGGAACCGACGCCGGCCTGCCCGTGATCATCTGGTTCTACGGCGGCGGCTTCGAGACGGGCGGCACCGACGTGCCGTACCAGATGCCGCAGAAGTGGATCCAGCGCTCGCAGGAGCACATCTTCGTCACCTTCAACTACCGCATGAAGCTCTTCGGCTTCCCCAACTCCGCCGCCCTGACGGAGCAGAACCTCGGCCTGCTCGACCAGCGCTTCGCCATCGAGTGGGTGCGCGACAACATTGCCAAGTTCGGCGGTGACGCCTCCCGGATGACGCTCTGGGGCCACTCTGCCGGTTCCATCGCGGTGGACTACTACAGCTTCGCGTACCCGCAGGACCCCATCGTACGCGGCCTCGTCATGGACTCGGGCACGGCGCACCTGGACCAGCTGATGAGCCACGACGACATCCAGTCCAACTTTACCTTTGTCGCGCAGCAGCTCGGGTGCGGCAACCAGACCACCGCGGAGGCGGAGCTGGCGTGTATGCGCAAGATCCCCGCTGAGAAGCTCGAGAACTTTGTGGCTACGTTCAAGGACTCTGGAGTCACTCCGTCCATTGGCTTCTCGCCCGTGATTGATAACAAGATTGTGTTCGCCAACTACACTGAGAAGGCTGCCCTTGGCGAGTTCTCTGACCTGGTACGTTGATCTCCGTGTTTTGGTTGAAGAATTGTTAGAAGCTGACTCACAACAGCCCGCCATCATCGGCTTCAACCACGACGAGGGCCTCTTCCTCGCCCCCTACAACGTCAGCGGTCCCAACCAGACCGTCGCCGACCAGCTCTCGTACCAGTACTTCTGGTGCCCGGCCACCAAGACCACCAAGTAACCCCCCCTTGCCTCTCACTCCCTCAGAGCATCAAACTGACGAACCCCCCAGCGAGCGTCTCGCCGCTGGAAGAACGACCTACCGTTTCTTCTACGCCGCAGTCTTCAACAACACATCGCCCCGCCCGTGGATGGGCGCCTACCACGGCAGCGAGCTGCCCATGATCTTCGGCACGCACGCCGACTTCCGGGGCAACTCGACCCCCTTCGAGTACGAGCTCAGCCACGTCATGGAGGACGCCCTGACGACCTTCATCAAGGACTCGACCGCCGGACTGGACGCCATCGGCTGGCCTGTGTACACGGCCGAGGACCGCGAGGTGAGGACCTACGGGGAGAACAATGCCACTGTCGGACGCAGGACCCTGGCTTCTATCGAGCAGGGCTGTGCTGACCAGGGGCTTTTGTAATTCGATGTATATATTACATGAAATACATTTGACATAAGAAAGATGTACCAACTTCATTTTCGACTCGTATCGAGACGTGTCTTACTTGATGCAAGACTAGGGCGGATCGTTTGCTTTTCCCTAAAATCGGCATAGAGATTTTGACAATTGCGATATTCAAGAGCTTTTTTTGCGGATGTAAGAGAACGGAATCTCAAAGAGACGAGTTGTCTTTGGGGAATTTTCCATCGCCGAGGATTCTGAGAATCTCTCCACCCCTCTATCAGCTTTCGACCCTTGTTCTTTGTCTAGCGAAGCTCCTGGAAAGGCACTGAATATCGAACAGCTGGATGTTGAAGAAGGCTTCGAAAACGTCGCCTTTGAATGAGCTCTGAACCTCTATCGAGATTGGAGGTTCCGCCCTCGCACAGCCGCAATAAACTAACCCCGGTCAATGCGGCTGGTGATGGTGCAGCAGAGAATCTTCGTTTTCGCCATGGCTCACAGCCGCTTAGTCGTCGAGCATCTGGACCAACCAGAGGGTTTGTTTACTTTTCCTGAGGACTTTGAAAAAGCAGAGAGCAACCTACTGCCACCGCCATCATCAAACGACGCCGTCTTGACATTACTCAAGCACTGCCTTCGAAGTGCTAAGCGGTAAGTACTGCGTCCGCCATCATGTTTGGCGTAGGTACTGATGATTTGTAGATGGATACGATGAACGGCCGAAGCCAGCATCAGGAGGGTGCGGTCCCCGCCGACACCGACGTTGCCAGCAGCGACGCCATCACCACTCCCTACGCCGAAGCTAATTCCGCCGACGACACCCGCGCCGATGTTCATGCAGAGCAGACCGAAGAAGACAACGAGTCCGATGATGACTACACCCCCGTCCATCCCGACACCTCAACATCGACGCACTACTGCAGCCGCTGCCGGAAGACGCGGTACCGGTGGTGGTTCGAGCGCTTCCCCGCCAAAGACCCTCGCAACCTGCGAGGCACCGGTATGCAAGTCTAGGCATCTTGCAACCAGTGTGTGTGGCAGCAGGCCAAGATGGACCCGGGCGACTGGGTCGAGGAGAACTGCCCATGGCTCTTTGACGGGTTCCGTCCCTGCCACTGGCACGATCGCGACCACCATGACTATGGGTTCTGTCCCACGTCGAAGCGCAAGGCGTTCAAGCTTGTGAAGTATACCGATACGGAAGAGGGCAACTTCACGCAGTTGGTGGTTGGGGATAGCAACTATGTCAAGCTGTTTTCCACTGCGGAGGCTCAGTCCGGAGATCAGGACCAGACTTCGAGTGAGATGCACGGTGTGGCCAAAGACTTGGGCGACGACACGATGCTCGTCGACAACATAGATGCCCAAAGGTCCGAGGAGACCTCCTCAAAGGCCGAGCACGCAGAGCAGACGCAGAAGGGAGGCACGGACATGGCGGTCTCGGAGAGCGCCGATGCTGAGGCCGTTTCTACTGGCAAGGCGCATGGCCAGACTCAGAATGATATTCACGACGACGACACCCTTCTAGGTCTCGGTCCCATCGCAGGACACGAGGAAGCAAGCCAGAAATGGGATATCGGCAGCTTGAGAGGCAGCAGTGCAATCGCAATCGTACAACTTGTCCGATGTTCTCGGGGATAAGATTTGTGTTTGGTTCATGTTTTGTTTGCTCGTCAGACCGGAAGAGACCGGGCAGGCAGTGGATTCTCCCGCTCCTGGTCCAGCCAGACTCTCGTTACCTAAGCTTTCCGAGGTAATTAAGTACGTACCGTCACATTTCATTGAACCTTTGGAAATTGGCACAGGTAAGGGGTTCCTTTCAGGACCAACTTGCAGCTGCAACTCCCCCCAATTCTCTTGCATTTCTGGGCTGTTTGCCTCTTTCAGGCCAACATCATGACTTGCCTTCTCTCCGCACCGAGAGGGGAAACTGAGGGGAAGTTGGAGGGTGACAGCAGGTGTATTTGGGATGAATGATGAATGATGAAGAGGGTGTGGTGGTGGTGTTGGTGTTGGTGCAGGTTGGGGAACCTACCTACCTCTCCAACTTCAGCGCATCTTCCACTGGCTCCAGCGACTCCTCAGCGGCTCCAGACTCCAGTGCGGCCCATCACGCCACTAAATCCCCAGACTTACCCCACATCATCCCCCGAGCCTCGCTTAACACGCGCTAATCCTCTTCAGATGACGCTAGTCCCACTTCAGCGATGATGGCCCCACCCATCTCTTCCGATCCACGTCCAGGCCAGTCCTTAGGTTCCTTCCTTCGTCCCGCCACACCCCATCGCCATCCCATCAATTTCCATCTCCATGAAAAGTTCCACCAATCGAGCCATCCTCTCGCCAGCATCCATTCCCCAGGCCAGCCCAGGATCAGTCAAGCTTCGAGAATCTGTCGTCCGTCCTCCTCCGTCGCGTCGCCTTGGAACCTGCCCAAGCCAAGTCAACCCTGCCAGAGGTCCCTCAAGACTCCCCCCAGAGTCGACGGTCCGACGTTCCTAACTCGCCGCCTCCCCACGACGCTTTCTACGCCTCAGACGAGCATCTGTCCTAATCAATCCTAGCCCTGGCAGCCGAATCCCTCGGCCTCGTACCGTTGCCGTTCTCTCCCCTCCCCGCCTACCGTTGGCTCCTCCGCCATTGTCTGGCCACTCAGATCTCGCCAACCCCCTTCGACCTCCTCCGCAGTTGTCTCCCTCCGGCCTCTGCAACCAGTCATGGCCCTCCAAGACCGTCAATCCCGCCGCTAGACCCCCGGGCCCCGGATCGCCTTTCCACTCGACTGCGGGTTGCGGTTTGCACATGGCCTGCCTTTCTGTTGCCGGTCCCGTGAGTACGGCCTGACTTGGGCCCAAGCGGCATAGTCTTCTGGCACGGCACAGTCATGCATTCCCTAACTCGTCTGATTGGGGAATGGCTGGCAAGGGGCCAAGCCTGGGGAAGCGAGCATGCTCTCCACGGGGATGGGGATCGAGTGGTTGCAATTCCATCCCATGCTGCTGCTGCTGCTACCATGCATTCTGCAACCGTGGTATGAGACGCGCGAGAAGCCGGCCGTCTGGGACCAGCGTTGATCTCGCCTCGACGCGACTTTAAAATACCCCAATCGCCCCTCCCCCAGCCCACCCTCTGATCGGCCTTCTCTTCTCGATACGACTCTGCTTCAGGAGCTTGCCAACCGTCAACATCTTCAAGCAACCGGGACAATCCAGCAGCCATGTCTCGCGACATCAACACGGCCTCCCAGCCGCACGACGCCATCCACATGGAGAAGGGCGCTCCCCATATCAGCCAGTACAACGATGCCGCCCTCGATGACAAGGTCCTCAACTCCGAAGCCGCCCAGGCTACCGACGTCGAACACAGCTTCAGCGTCTGGGAGGGTCTGAGGACTTACAAGCGCGCCGCCTTCTGGTCCATTCGTGAGTCTCCGCGCCTCGTTCCGAGTTGTCGGCGCAAGAACTAACATTACCGTCAGTCATCTCAACGACCGTCATCATGGAGGGCTACGATGTTACTCTTCTCAGCTCTTTCTACGGCTACCCAGCATTCCGATTGAAGTACGGTGAATTCCTCGATGACGAGCACGGATACCAGATCTCCTCCATGTGGCAGCAGCGCTTCAACTGTCTCGGTGCCTTGGCCAACATTATCGGCGCTTTGCTCAACGGATACCTCACCCCCAAGATCGGTCACCGCTGGATTCTCATCGGATCACTGTTCTGGCTCAGCGCTTTCGTCTTCGTCGTCTTCTTCGCTCACAACATCGAGGTGCAGTTGGTGGGCCAGGTTCTGTGCAACGTCCCCTGGGGTGTCTTTGCTACCACTGGTCCAGCCTACGCTGCTGAGGTCACGCCACTGGCCATTCGTGGGTACCTCACCTCATACGTCAACCTTTGCTGGTGTATCGGCCAGTTCATCTCTGCCGGTGTCCTCAAGGGTCTCGTCAACCGAACCGACGAGTGGAGCTACAAGATCCCCTTCGCCATTCAATGGGTTTGGCCTATTCCCCTGGCCATCGCCGCGTACCTGGCGCCTGAGTCTCCCTGGCATCTGGTGCGCGCCGGTAAGCTCGAGCAAGCCAAGAAGTCTCTGGAGCGACTATCAGAGCCGGAGCACAACCTCAACCACGAGAACACGATTGCCATGATGGTCCACACCAACAAGCTCGAGATCCAGGAGCAGGAGGGCGCCAGCTTGTTCGACTGTTTCAAGGGCACAAACCTGCGACGTACCGAGATCGCCTGTATGGCTTTCATGTCCCAAATCACCAACGGTGGCGCGCTCTGTTACTCCGGCTCCTTCTTCTTCCAACAGACCGGTATCGGGGAGGACGCCTCGTACGGCATCAGCTTGGGAGGCACCGGCATTGCCTTCATTGGTACCATTATCTCGTGGTTCTACATTTACAAGCTTGGTCGTCGCACCATCTGGCTCGCCGGCTTTGCTTTCCTCGTTCTCATCCTCTGGATCATCGGCTTCTTGTCCGTCGCCCCCAATCAGAAGGGAGGCATCATCTGGGCGCAGTCCCTTCTCTGTATCGTCTGGCTCGGTGCCTACTCCATGTCCGTCGGCCCCATCGTCTACACGCTCGTGTCCGAGGTCGGATCTACACGTCTCCGTACCCAAACTGTCGTGCTGGCTCGCAGCACATACTACGTCGGCAACGTCATTTGCGGTGGCCTGATTCAACCGAAGATGCTCGCGCCCGGTGACTGGAATTTGAAGGGAAAGACTGTAAGTTATCAAAAACCCCGTTCTTCGTCGTACCATGAACTAACTCGGTACCAGGCATTCTTCTGGGCTGTTCTCGCGACTCTCACTTTCATCTGGGGATACTTCCGTCTGTTCGAGACCAAGGGCCGTACGTTCGGTGAGATGGATGTCATGTTCCAGAAGCGCATCTCGGCCCGCAAGTCGGCCAAGTACCAGCTTACCCAAGATGAAGTCTTCTTGGCCGAGCAGACCCACAATGTCGGAGGCCGAACAGAGAAAATCTGACCTGTCGTCTGACTACAATATCATAGATACCCCATCCCGCCCTAGCCTAGGGTCGCTGCCATTTATTGTTATTTATACCAAGTAAGGAGGCGGTCGTCTGCTAAGATGACGCCTCCGCGCTGATTGAAATCTAATACCCATCATGAGATCACCATATTTGATGCAATCCATTTCAGTCATTTCTCCCGTTTGTGACATCTCTTCTTGATGCGCTAACCTCAAAATACCAATGAAGAACATACATCAGATTCTTCGTCCAGCGTCGCTACTCAACGTTCATATGTCAGTTTGGGATACCAGAGAACTTGCGGCATTCCTGTCAATGATCGACCCAAAGCAAGATGAATCGAATCTTCTGGAAATTTATGCAAGGTGCAAGTCCTCTTATTACATTAAGAAATTGTGGAAGAAACTCTATCATAACTGTCACCGTCTATTCAAGTCTCCAATGGCAGAACCTCAAAAGCCGGGGTCTCGAAGACGTCCCAGTTGTCTGAGGCTTCTGGGTTTCCGAACGGGAAAAGAGCAGCGAACCGCATTTTGTACTTGCCCGGCGAGACTTGAGTGCCGTTCGCCAATCGTCCGAGCCACCACAGCTCTGTACCGTATAAACCTACGATGTCTCTAGGCACATCACGCATGGGAAGGGTGATGAGGTCGTTGGGGTCGTCGACACTGGGATCGATGTAGTTCTTGCCCAGCGCCTTCGACCAGCTCGTCGCAGCTCCCACGAAGCCTGCCTCGCCGACGACAGGAGGGTACTTCCAATCCCGTTCAGTCCATGACTCCTCAAAGATGTCCCACCTCAACTCTCGCGTGGCATACTGGGCACGCGTGTACACGTTGGGGAAGTCCTGAACTTCGGGGTCGAGGTTGAAGGTGAAGTTGGACTTCTGAGCGATGGGAATGTCACTTCGGGTGGATGTCATCTGTGGCCACCCGACCGGGTACTGGAACATGATGCCGATATCCTTGTGCAGGTCAGCAGCCAGTCCCATGTACGGGACGCCGAGCGTCTCGCCGTTGCTACCCTTGATCAAGACCTTTCCACTGTACAAGGGGAGTTTGTCGGGGTCGAGATCCTGGCTTTCGGGGTACTTGAAGTTGAACTGGGTGGTCTTGGTCTCTCCTGGCTGGATGGTGACGGCGCCAGGGAAGGAGATCTGAGGCTTCATTTTCTGTGGCGCGGCCAAGACCTCCTCACCCCACGCGATCTTGGGAGTTCCCCAGGCGGTTGGGTCCAGGTTGACGGTGTTCATACCGCCAAACTCTTGCTGCTCAAAGCTGTAGGTCACCGGCTCGGTTCCAGAGTTGGTGATGTCGACGGAGTGGTATCGGCTGAAGTGGTGGGTGTCGTTCAGGGCGAATTTGGCAAAAGAAAGCGTGGTCTCATAATCAAGCACCTTGCTGGCGTTGATGAGGCCAGTGCCGACTTGGGCGACAGAAGCATAGAAGGGATATTCGTTGTTCTCCAGCGCGCCATCATCCCACTTGATGGCTTCGCCGGAAGATATCATGCGCATGGCAAGACTCTTCGCCCATTCAGGACCGTGAACACTGCGACCACCGAACTTGCTGACGTATAGGGCAGCGACTCCGGCAACATACGGGCATGACATACTCGTCCCGCTGAGAATGGA